TCACCCTATCCACCTCGCTTAAGGAGGGAAAAATAATAAGCTGCGATGGAAATTCTCATTAGAGACACTCAGATACTGTTTCAATACTTACAGGACCATTCGTCCGAACGTAAGTACGTAACGCCAATAATCCGATTTTTCACCCCCCCCCCTCCCTCCGGGTTTTCCGCTCATGGCGCGGTGGCTAAAGTTCAGTTCCTATAATCACTGGTAAATCTTTGGAAATAAAAGTAAACTGATAGAGGAAAAGAAAAATTATTTACCCTTCAAAAAATTTACAGTTGGAACATCGCAAGTCACCAATTACGGCCCCTTCATTTAAAAACCCTAAAAAATGATCAATTCTGCAATTCTCAGTACTTGGGAAATTGACTAATATCAAAAATGTTGAACCTTTGAAGTGAGTTGCATTATCAGCCAAGTACGCATATTTTAAATAAGGCATGTGTGTAAAATGCAATTAGGTTGACCCTGATTAGATCCGTCATTTGACACCCAGGAGCCAGGACGTCCAGTCGCCAGGACCAAATGGACTACAGTACATAATAAATTACCACTACCTACCTACTCCTGGACCATCTTTAAAATCACCTATCTCTGTGGAGAAACTGATAGTCCACGTGTTGTTCCTCGAATGAGCCAGAAATGGTAGCTACTTATTCCGCCGTGCTAAGGAAGAACGCCGTATGAGCCTCCAGGCGTTGCCAAATTTCCCTCGATAAAACATGAATTTCCCGGTGAACTCATGAATATTTTTCTTCCAGTTTTTCAGATAATATTGTTCGCAATTTCACCCAAAGTTCCTGAAAATTTCAAGGAAAAATACTCATAACGTTCCCTAGAAATTAACATTTCATTGAAGAAAATTTGGCAACTCTCGAATGTTCATACGGCGTTCTTCCTTAGCACGATAGTATTGGAAAATGTGGTTCCGATACCTGGCCTTATGCCTGGTCGTATAGGTAAAGACATCCAAGTTTTGGGTCAAGGTAGGTAACCGAAGTTCTTGGGTCATCGAATCGAAGCTGTGCTTTGGTTCAGATAACCGACGCCTTCGTTAAAAAATACGAGGCTCAGTATGGCTAACAAAAACTTTGGTTACTTGAACCGACGCTCGTTTTTTATGCCCCAAAACCTCCATGCGGGTTCAAAAACTTTACCTTGCCTTTTGGATCGAGGTAGATACTCCTGACTCCTCTAAGCGTAGTCAGAGCTGTTCTGCCGTGCTAAGGTAGAACGGCGTGCGGGCATTCGAGGGTTGCCAAATTTCCATGGACGAAACATGTATTTTTGAGGAAAATTATGCGAATTTTTCCTCGAAAATTTCGGGCATTTTAGATTAAATTGCGAATAAAATTCTCTAAAAAATTTGAAGAAAAATGTTCACAATTTTTCCAGCAAATTCGATTTTTATCGCAGGAAATGTGGCAATATCTAAGGACTCATAGGGCATTCTTCCTTAGCACGACGGTATCTTTTGTTCCATGCCACGTGCTGCCGTGCTAAGCAAGAACGCCGTAAATCCATCAAAATTTTCCCACGTTTTTTGGAACTTAGCACTTTATAAAATAAAACCTGTTTTTCCCATGCACCTCAAATTTCCAGGTCAAGTTTTTGGTAGTATTTGCGAAAGCATTCTGTAAAAACACTGTCCCAAGGTACACAAGTTTTTCTGCCATGATACATTGTCTCCAAAAAATTTAAAATGGCGTTTACGGCGTTTTTGCGTTGCACGGCAGTGTGGTCCTCGCATACGTTTTATTTTATCTTGTGGCACCGGCAACACTTTCGAAGTGTGCGTCAACGAATCGTGAAAAAAACAGAGGAAGAATACACGAGAAATAAGGGGTGGAGATGACCCGATAGGACCAGAGGAGAGGGAAAATGGGGATAAACAGACATTTTCGCACCACCCGGGATACGAAATCCTGAATAAATTTTACCGTTGAAGCGGCGATGCCAGATTCCCCTTTCAAATCCGTGTTTCATAATTCCCTTAATTTCCTCGAGAAAGATGATTTCTGACAGCCAATCGGCAGCAACGGGTAAGGTTAGTGAGACACCGATTAAGCCGCCCGGAAAAAAGGGACCGGGGAGTGTAATGATCTGAGACTGGGTTTTGCGATCCGAGCAATCGATATTGTATGGGTACCTTCTATTTTACCCGGGAAAACTATCGAGGTTCGATTATCGCATTGCGAGATATTCGCTTCAGAGCTGGGGGCTCGGGGGGATTAGACTCATTAATCTAGCTGGGAAAATCAGGCGGAATGAGGAGGGTCTGTTCGAGGGAAATTTTATATATGCAGGTAATTTTGTGTGGGGGAGATTATTCTGCAAAATGTTCTGAGACCCCAAAGATGGTTTCAAATAAAGCGGTACGGAGTGATTCAAATTTTACATTGAGAGCCAACAATCCGATTTTCCTTTTCTTCCTTTTTAAATTTTAAGTTTCTATTGTAGCGTGAGAAAATTTCGCGCTATTCAGGAAAAAGATGTATAGCACATTTTTCGGATAAGAATTACATTTTCCACGCGGAGGTCGATCTCCATACTGCGTCGACAGCACTCCATAGCATACTGCCGTGCTAAGGAAGAACGCCGTATGAACATTCGAGAGTCGCTAAATTTCCTCCGATAAAATGTTTATTTTTGAGAAAAGTTAGGAATATTTTTCCTTGAAATTTTCAGCCACTTTCGATCAAATCACAGCCAAAATTACCTGAGAAATTGGATGAACAATATTCACAAATATTCCTGAAACTTAGTGATTTGCCTAAAGAAATTTGGCAACGCCTGAAGGCTAATACGGCGTTTTTCCTTAGCACAGCAGCGTAGCCGCGCCCAAGCACCCTCTCTGATTATAGAGCAATCAGGCTCACTGTACCGATTCGATGTTCAATCGTGAAAAAATTCCGGCATTTACTTCAAGGTGCAGATCTTTCTCGATGGAACAATATGAAGATAACCCCCCCCCCCTTCCATAACAAATCAGCATTTTCTGGCCATATTTGTACCAGATTTATGGACAATTTTAACAAGACGTCAAGCATATTTACCAGCTCCCTTGAAGAAGAACCCTTGAAGGGTTTCGTATGGAGGGAGAAGTGATGTAGTCTAGCAATCTGACGTTAAAGGAAAGACAACACTACCGTGCTAAGGAAAAGCGCCGTATGGGCAGTCAAGAGTTGCCAAATTTTCCCGATTAAAAGTATATTTTTGAAGAAAGTTATTCATGATATTTCTTGAAATGTTCCATCTCGAATTCAGTTGCAAACAAAATTGTTCGAAAAACTTGAAGAAAACATTTCCATAACTTTCTCAATAAATTAGTTTTTTGGCTAAGAAAATTAGGCAACTTCTTAGGGTTCATGCGGCGTTTTTCCTCAGCTCGGCAGAATAAAGAGGTTGAGGAAAGCGATATAATTTGCGTTTTTTTTCCAAAAAATATTTGCCTTTGCAAATAGGGTCTCATCTATACATTACATAGCATCACGGGGAGGGGGCGTTAGGAGCGTACGCCCCCCTCCCTTTCGCCCTAAAAATAGGAGAAATTCAACCCGAAATTTCATGTCGGGCTATTATCGACGTCCTCTTCATGAAAATTCCGATTAAGAATGGCACAGGCCGTTTTTTACTGTGAGGTCATGGGCGGAAATAGGGTGGCCGGGGGGGGGGGGGGGAGCCCTCCCCACAATTCTGCTCTGCCTCTTCTAAAAAATGTCAAGGACCCAAGCAACTAATTAGTCTTGAGGTGAAAGGCATAGGAAAAGTAATAAAACCCAATAGCGTTATGTTTTTTAATGAACTAAAACCCACAGTAAGATGTGATATTTTTAAACAAAGCCAGCAAAATTTCTGTACCCTGACATCGGTAATACTTATTCCATTTAATTTGCCATTGAATTTGCAAACATTTTCAGGGGGAGCCCCCCTCCCCCCCCACAGAAAATTCCTAGTTCCGCCCATGTGTGAGGTGTGTCGATCCGAACCCGACGTAATTTTAGGGGAGGATTCACAGCGGCCTGATATGTATCTATCAAGGAAGAGAAGAAGGCGGGGGGATCACATTTTTTTTAAATATGTAGAAGACCTAGCTGTCATTTAGACCGAGTTACTTAAATTAAGACGCACCGATTAAATCACGACGCGTTTTCGAAAAAAGGAGATTCTTAGAGGATTTTTGAAGTCTGAAGGGGGGGGGGGGGAGCCCTATAAGCGGTCTGGTAGTTTCATCGTTGATTTGTATGTATTTGCGCTTCATTTTTAGTAGGATCTGGCATACGGCAAAAATATCGGAGGGCTCACGATCAGATCAACAGCTACAGTGCAGTGGGTGGTCATTCCAGAGAAAGGGGTCTGTTTCGCTATGAACATCCGGCCTCACCTCTGATGGGAGAGACTGAGAAGGAAAATAAACGACGTATTATGTAACATAGGTGCAAGCGGCACGCGTTTTCAGTTCTAGGAGACCGGCCCGGGTTGAGCGGGAAAGGGCCAGACATAAGGCCGGACTCTTCGGCGCCTTGCCGACGCCAAACAGATCAAATCATGTTATAATCTGTTGACACTTCGCGCGCGTTGATCAGCCAATCAGAGGAGTGCGTAGCGCGTCATTTGCAAAAAAGTGGCACCGACCGGTGGCACCGACCGGGCGTCGGGCGTCACGCGTCACTTCACCACCCTCACACTCTTCCGCCGGTCGTCTGCCCGAGGCGTTGTTACTCCGCGGTCAATCGGAACCGATCATTAATTTTTAGCTCCCAAGAAAGTATTAAGTGTATCAGAGCATTCTTATTGATCAATGTGCCTCAATTATCGTGTCTCGCGAAAGCTCCTGCGTGTCTACGAGAACAATCGTGAGTAATTCGTCGCGTGAACCGGAATCTCACCCGCGACAAGTGCAAGTCGATCGGCCATTGTTCGGTACTTGTTGATTCGGTGTTCGCACCTCGTGGGTCCCGAGACCTCTCACGATGTTGTACCGGCGGGCGAGTGATCGGGTCGCAATTGATATTCTCTAGACTTTCGTCGTTAATTAATAGTGTGAATTGCCTATTTCCGCATTATTATCGTGTCCCGCCTGAACCTCTTGGTTTACTCGAGAACTGTCGTGTGTGTTTCGTTGCTAAAATCGAAATTTAGCCCGTGGAAACTGACCATTCTTTCGGAACTTGACTCGTACTCGTGGGTCCTCAGCCTGTTTTTGAGAGTGTAATTGATATTCCATTGACTTTTGTCGTTCAATTAAAAGTGTGAATCGCTGATTCACTAGTGCGGTTTTCGGTTTCGGGTGAACTTGGTCGAGCGAATTGTTTGGTGAACTCGTGTCGCGGTATTCGACATTATTGTCAAAGTGTGTGCTAGCGATTTCTATTCCGAAGTGATCAAAATTCCGGTATCAGTTGGCGTGATTCGCGGCTCTTTTTCAATTCTCTGAAGATTGATTCGATCGAGTGTTTCCATCTTTTATTGCTGGAAGGGTGTCTGAAACTTTCCCTCACTGCTGTCGTTGGTTCTGGATCAAGGTTTGCAGTATCTATTTTTTCTTTAAATTTTGCCCAGATAAGGTGTCATTTATCGTGAATTTGTATCTTTTGTCAGGGTCTGTCAACACTCTAGTTTTACAGGACTTCTTTTTCAGGTTTTCAACTCACATTCAACAGTTAGGTATCAACTGAAATAAAATTTCACTCTAACGACTTGCCTCTGACTCTTAGACAAGTCATTCAAGTGATTTTTCACAGTTTCTAGTGCGATACATTTCATTGAATGAGTATAAAGTCTCGGCAGTTTTTGAATTGTATACCTAAGAAAGAATGTTAGTCCCTGCGCATTAGCCCGAAGATTCATTCTGAGCCCAAAAATGGGCAAAATTCAGAGAGATGAAAGCAGGATCCATTTTGGGGAAAAACGTAGCATTTGATTTAGATACCTATTGATTTCTGTATCGATTGCGATGTTTATTGCCGAAAGGAATCTTGTCTTCATGTGTGTCGCGTTATCCTGTTTTTGTTCAGATTGATTCCTGAGGCTCATGTGCAGAGGCTATCAATTTTTTTGGCTGGAAATTTTGGAGATGTAGAGATTTTACATTCAATTGATGCGATATATTGCATGCCAGTTCGACTTCGCTTTAATGTATGACAAATTACCTGCAAAGTATTATCGTATGGTTGCGATATATTGCATGCCAGTTCGACTTCGCTATAATCTATGACAAATTACCTGCAAAATATTATCGTATGGTTATCTTATTACCTATCTGTACTTGTCCTCTTAATTTTCTCAACATGAATTCAGTACCTATGTCTAGATGTAGTTAAGTGTAGAATGGTGTACCTTCAATGACTAAGTATCTTTCCTTCTCCACTAACATTCTGTAGTCCCCAGAATTATCTTGACGAGCCTCACGGTCTCAGAAAGAGTATTTACTTGAACACATTCTTTAATTTATTTCCTTACTTACCAGATCAGGCGCATACACTGAATTTCCTAGGGAGAACTCCTGTATTACTCCCGAATGAATAGAGATAATCTAAACTATAATTATGCAACCGTCTTGTCGAGGAAGTTACTAATGAATGAGTATTGGTACCTTTATGAAAGCAAAGGCTCCCTTTTGCAAATGTACAGAATATGCACCTCCTGATTTCCCTAAAGAGTTCCTTTCATCCCTCACCCTTTAGGACTGTGCCATGTTTACTACTTCCACCGTAACAATTAATTTTTTAAAACTCAGCTCCTTCATAAGCAGAAGAGGTAGTGGAACAGTTCCCAGTAAATAACCAGACAAGTTTTATTGTAGCTCGATCATTAACTTCGGTAGTTTTTGCTACGATTCATGTGTTTAATCCTTGATATTTGAATCCTCATCTCCCCCTCTCCTTTCCCATCTCCTCTCTCTCAAGTCTCAACTCACACCCTCTAATATTTCATGCAAGAGTCAGTTTGTATTTTGATTCAAGGGAGTTTCAAGTCAATTTCCCAGGCAATTCAGATTATAATGTGCCTGAGTAGCTTCTTAGTTATCTCAGAATGAACAATTTTCCAGCCCACAGAGGTTTTTTCGTCCCTTTCAAATGGTTCTAAATTGATCATCACTTTTAAATCATGGTCTAATGAAATTTTCCCTTGTGTTCACGGATATTGCTACAGACATTTATGAAATTCCACTCGGATTCATGCGAAGATTACCTGTAGAAATAGTTAATTTTTTTTAGCTTGTTAATGGCTCCCCTTTCGCTGACAAGGGCCCTACAGACGAAATTGAAGGGAGAAGTATGGATGAAAGAGAGAGAGAGAGCAAACTTTCATGCCCCCGTTAAGTGATCTCAGAGAGAAATTTGTCATTTAATTGTAGCTTATGGGTGTCAGGGTAGGTCTGTGCCCCCCCCCCCCTTCAACCGTACTAGAAATATTATTATCTGTTTCCTCCCAATTAAATCTGCAAAACAGACAGTGGCGTCAGAGCTGGTTCATTTTCTTGTTGAGAGTGAAGAAATTTTGAGATCTTTTTAAGAATTATTGGCAGAGTTGAATCTTATATTTGCATATACAACCAGAGTCTGCGTGAGAGAAGCCCTTAAATACACCTGAGAGAGGAACATTCCGAGATTTTCCAATACAGATCCCCCGAATTCCCCTTTTACCGAGCAGAAGCAGACTTCTTAAATATATCGGGGGGGGGGGGGCCC